CCTCTGTACCCTGGTTCATGCGTGGCAATTTGGTTGCGTCATGAGAGAAATTGAGAATGAAGCTGCGTTAGTCGGCGCAGTAAACGGGCGACCTTCGTAAGTCTAATGAGGTCTGCTTAAAGGAATCTTCTAAAATGCCATGTGCCCTGAACCTCATGGAATAAGGACCTAAGCTTTAAAGATATGATGTTATTTAAACAGTACTGCCTGCGTGGAGGAGACTTCGAAAGTGATAGGCCAAGGATTCAATCCTTCGTGCAAGGCAGTACCTTCTGTAAGTCGAAGTCAGAAAGTCCATTTAATTGGCTAGTAATAATTACTAACTGCCTGAGAGAATAATTACCGAATTGATTTTCTACGAAGAGTTTAGTATTATTGCTCCAGAAAGGATCCATAAAAATTCCTCTCTTACACTTTTTTATTCAAGGAATCACGTCTTACGAGGTTAATCCTTTCACCTACCCCCCACAAGTTTACTAATTTCGCAAGCACAGTTTGAAATTTATTCACATACATTATAATATTAAATGGGCACTAAAAGACCTTTTATATAGAGATAAAAAAAACTTCGCAATTTAAATGGGTAACGAGTAAACGAAAAGATCCAGAAATTAGCAGACGGTTTTAAGCCCTGAACTTGAAAAACAGGCCTGACGACAAGATGTATTTTATCCCTGCCTTAGTTTTGGAACAAGAGTGGGATTTATTGGATTCCTGTACCATTAATCGCGTGGATTAAGTTCCGTCTGCGGATTGGGAATGTGAGAGAGATAAAGTCACTGATGAGCCAAAAACTGCCCGAGCGCTATGGCAAGCGGGGAGGGGAAATTCGTCAGACACAGACGTAGAGCAGATGTGAGAACAAGAAACAGTTAACGTCACGAGTGCACATGAAGTCGACCATTGTTCGGCGTTTGCGCCGGTAGGCGGCCGCCGTGTGTGTCAGCCTGATCTGATTGGCTCTTTTCTCTTCCATTTCTCCTTGAGGTCTCTGCACACGACATCCGACTCAATATGTCAGTTGATGCACGATTCATCCGAGTGCAGTGCCTCGAGGAATGCTCGGCCTTTCTTGGAAGAGCAGACAGCGACAATGCTAACTTTGTCCCAAGCAGAGCTGTGCCCGGTGTCTAAGATATGAATGGCTACTTGAGACAGATAGTCTCGCCTCTGTACTGCTGACTGATGCTCATGGACACGTGCTGAGGCGGATTTTCCAGTCTGAACATAATAAACGGCAGCATATGCATCACACGGGATCTTGCAGACGACATTTTTATGTTCAATTGGTTAACCCTATCCCTAGGATGTACCAGCTGAGAGCGCAAAGTAGCCGTAGGTTTATGCGCCAATTGAATTTGATGCTTCCGTGTCTTTCGACGAGTTTAGACGCATTCGTAACGTAACGAAGGGTTCACCATGTGCATAGTTTATGCGTCTGATTGGAACCACCCGGTTCCTTCTTCCTTAGTTCCTGCTGCCTTATGTATCTGCGTGCAAAATCCTTAGAGTACCCATCCTGCGAAAATAATTCACACAAGTAATTCAGTTCGACTTCATAGCCTTCTTCGTCGTCCGCTGGGGCTCGAACCCTCAACCCGTTGGTTAGAAGTCCAACGTCCCGAACACTGAGCCACGTGCTCGTTGTCCCGTTGTTTGCAGTCAGTTATGTATAAAGGCGAAGGGGCGCCCAGTGGTTAGGACTTTAGACTTCTAACCAAAAGGCCACGGGATCAAGTCCCACGGATTGCACACCTCGGGGTTGGCTATGGCTGGTTGACGACGACCAATAAACCAGAAATGGCCATTTCAGTTTCCAATGCCTTCGTCGGTAATATTATTCTGCCTGTATTACGCGCCGCTGTGCGACCGCTAGCGGGGCTTGAGGGGAACCCCAAGGCACAACGGAACGAGTGAGTTCCGTAAGAACGATCGGTGAGCGCCTCTCTGCTTCTTCGAGGACTGTATTGACCTGCTACTAGTTCCAAATGCTAAGAGCCTTCACTCAATGCTCTTTTCGGTATTCACGTGTGGTTTTTGAGGCTACTATTCCAGCCAAGAAGCCTATTTCGGGTCGTCCTCCTTCCTTCTCAATACCCTTGCTCGCTCTTTTGAAGACTGACCCTCCACCAACTGCAGATGAGAAATCTATATTCGGCAAGCGTTTGGTAGGTGATTCGCCTCAGGAAATGGTAGTTAGCTGCAACCATAACGCCAGTCGTGGTCATGCCTGTAATTGGTAGCCATAGGTCTTGACGTAACACAAGCCTTAAAACCATCACCCTATTTTCAAACTAAACCCTAACCCAATTTGGACTTAACAGCGTTAGTGAAGGTAAAAATCTACGTATCACACAATCCGTTTTGAGACCTGATGTCTGACAAAAGGTCGTGAAACATGCTTATCAAAATAAGATAAGGAGGTAGATTTTTTAAAGACTGAACTTAAGCAATTCAAACCTTAGTAGAAAATACGCATTAATATAAGAAAACGACGTTCTCGAGCGCATTGTGAAAGACCTTCAACAATCAGAATGGTATTACCGACAAAGACAAGGGAGACAGTTTCCTTGTCTTTGTCGGTAATACCATTCTGCCTGTATATCATGCGCCGCTGTGCGGCTGCTGGTTGGGCTCGAGAGAGAGTCCATAAGGCACAACGGAACGAGTGAGTTCCCTATGAACGATCGGTGAGCGCCCCCTAACTTTATACAACTTAATCATATGAATCGACAAAACGGGAAATACGGAAAAAGATTGGTTATTTGTGAAATAAACGAGACGGAAAACGAATCTGTAGTCCAGGAATACGGAAACGATAAGGAAAATGGGACTTAGCGGATGGCGCGTCGACAGGCGTCAGCTCCAATCCACTTGACCCATACTCTGAAAAGTGTGGGCGGGAAGTAAAAAAGGTCCGTTTGAAACATTCGCTCGTTACAACGCCCCCCTCTTAAGGTACAGCTCTGTCCTCAGTGCTGGTGGAGTCGATGGGGGAAGGGACGGAGACCTCGATGGCTAACCGAAGACGTACTTCCCCTGAGAATTGCTGCTTTTTACGTTTTTATATAATTCATTTTATATGAAGTTTTTGAATCAGTTTTAACACCACGCAGACGGGCAATGGCAGTTCGATCCTCACGGACGAAGATCTCTACCGTGTGCCCTTTGAAATGGACGCAGCACCCTGACTTGCGCGGCATCTCACGCACTCTCTTCCTCTCTCTCCTCCCCCACACATATAGCTCCAAGAGGAAGACAACGTCAAGTTAACTAGAGGTAAGTAAGGGCGCGCCTACGCGTGCTAAATGGCGGCTCAAATCTCACATGTACGAGATTGTCAAAAAGGTACATGAAGAAGGAGCCATTGCAGCCCGGCAGTCAGTTCTGCAATCACCCAAAACCACTCCCTCTTGGAACGAGTTATCTCGCCAGTTTGTTGGTAGATTTAACCTCGTCATATTTATTGTAATGAAGAATGCACTGATGTGCCGTAAGCGTGGATTCTCTGGTGTTGATCTCACTATCTTACTCTTTTCGTACTCCTAAACACCAGACGGTCCGAGCCTGCTTGCCGACTGGTCACCGTCAGCCTACCTCAGATCTTGGAGACGACAGACATCTGCCTCACTGGCATCCTGAGCTGAGTCCGATTCCTCCTGAAGGGTCCATCGACCCCGAAAGGCTTCCGCTTCGCATGCAAAATTCGGGCAGTCAATGCTGCGCGGATTATGACGCCCATAAGTAAGCTGCTACCCTGCTGCTCTGACGTCAACAGCACTTGACATGAGTTTCCTCGAAGGCCTCATGGGCGCAGTTTCTTTCTTGCATCTGCAGGGCTGGTTGACGTTCCTACCCCGAGGCGACGCTCCATTCTTGCCCTACCGCTGGTGATGGTGGTAGCGGAGGTGGTGGTTTGTAGCGATATCTCATTAACGGCCGTGATTACCTCCATCATCACAGGTGATGTTCCCTGCAGCTTCTTTTTCTGGCCTCTGCCCGGCTGCGTCCCCGCCCTAATGGAGGCATCCGAGGTGCGTGTAAGTGTGGACGCGCAAATACCCCACTGCTGTTGGGCAGGTCCTCCCCAAGAAACGCAAGGCGCCATTTCCGCAACTATGGTGATGAACAAAAACAAGCATTAGGACGCTAAGAGAGGCAGTGGGTTTGGGTGTGTGCGCGTTCGCTGAAAGTGGCTTCGCTGATTGGAAGACCGACAGTGGAGCTAACAGATATCTGCGCGTTCAGCCCACCTCACCTCCTCCCCCCCTCCCCCCAACCCACGGAGCAGACTGCGTTGCTATTCCACTGGACGAAAACGTCGGGGGAGGGGGGTGGGACGTGCGGGCCCGTGACACGTGTTTGTCGGGCTGCACTGGGTCTGCGTGGGTCCTTAAATACTGGCGCACACACGCGTGGGGCACGAGCTACTTGGAGACTCAGGCTGCATTGGTCAGGTCATGGAAGAAGGGCGAGGTCAGCCTTGCGCGGATCAAACGTTTTGGTTCCTTACTGCGGCCAGTGAAACGTGCCTCTTCTTGAAGAAGAAGACACGATCGCCGGGACAAGAGCTTTATTAGCCTGACGTTTCGGACTCCTGCTCGAATCCATCATCAGAGACAAAGGCAGATAAGGGTGGTTCATGCATATGCGGCTGCAGTATCTATAGGATGCAGTAGCCATGCTACCGCATACCGCTTCTATTCGCATCTTCGCTTGCATCGGGAATTAAAGTGGCCTTTTATGCTGGCATCCATATGCTTGCCATGCGGAGGCGAAAGCAGGTGGCCGCTCGTGCGTAGAGTAGGTATGAGAGAGGGAGATACTGCGAACTGTTAGGGGATTTTGAAGATGCGTGGGGGCCAGCGTCGTCCATTCTGAGAAGGTGGTCGCTCCATGGCAGCTGCAGTTGTGTTAGCACGGCGTGGATGTTGAGGATTCGGGCGCGTGACGGGACTTCCGTGTCCGGAATCCTGTCCGGGCATCTTAGCCTCAATATTCTACGAAGTTTGATGAGATTGGCGTAATTGAGCTGCCTGGCATGGCTTGTGTGGAGGATGCATGCCTCCGTTCAGTAGAGAAGCGTTGTCAAGACGACGGCCTTGTACATCTTCAGTCTGGTGTTCAATTGAAGGCCGTGGGTAATTTGACACGTAGACTTGCAGCCGGCTGAAATTCTGGCTGGCTTTGGAGAGCCGACGGAGGACCTCATTGTGGATGTGTGTGTTTCGCAAGAGTGTGATTGGTAGATAGGCGAATTTGTCCACTGTTTGGAGGTGGTTGCGGCTGAGAGTGATTGGAGGAGAATTGTATTCGGCGTTCGTTGGTGGTTGATACATGACCCCCCTTTTGTTCGTATTGATGGTCAGTCCGAAGTGGTCGCAACCGGAGGCGAAGAGATCCCTGCTGCGTTGCATGTGTACTTTGGTCAGTGTGTTGAGTGCATAGTCGTCAGCTAAGAGCAGATCGTGGATAGTGGTCGTAGATAGCCGTGCTCGAGCCTGCATGCCCATGCTATTGAGAAGATGTCCATCCGTTCTGTAGGCGATGCTTATCCCCGGGTGCTCATCCCGGTAGGCGTCCACCATCAGCGTAGGAAGTAACATGAGGCTGGAGAGGGTGGGAGCGAGTACGTAGCCCTGCTTCATTCCATTGGTCACTGCGAATGCCGCGGATATGGCGTCGTTGTCTGTGTCGGGCGTCATCATCCCGTCGTGGAGCTGACGTATCATATGCGTTAAGCGTTCAGAACAGCCGAATTCCTGCATGATTTTCCGCAATCCCTCGCGATTCACCGTATCAAAGGCACTTCTCTTGCACCCGGCGAGCGACAAACACCAGGTCGATGGGGTCCCAATATCGTCGGAATCAACACTAGTCTGACGGTAGAATTCATTGCTTTAGGTGGCCGGTGAGACGATTGAGGAGGATGCGTGCGAGGATCCTCCCGGCGATTTTGAGTCGCGAAATGCCTCTGTGATTGTCACAAAGGTCGCCGGTTCCCCTTGTGCATGCAGAGGTGAACGATGGTTGCGTCCTTGAAATTCTGAGGAACTTTCCCGAACACACACACGCACAAACCCGGGCTTCATGAAGATTAGGGAACCACCAGAATGATCTTTGAACTCGCCAACTGTAAGAATTACGGCTTTATGATTTTCTGGGAAATCAGTGGCTAACTGGGAGTAAGTCGGTCTGAAGTAAACTTTTTCTGCCCGGACCGAAAGTTGATACGAATATTTGGACCGACGCCCATCAGCCACAGCGGGATGGAATGCTGAGAAATGAGAACCAGTCTCCACATCTCATCTCCCTTCGTTTGACGAGGGTCTTGGATACCGTTTGATGATATGAACTCTAGAAAAGCTTGTTCAAAGTCGGATTTCCGGGATGATTCACACAGGCGGTCGGACGGGCACATGACGGTATGATTGTGTGTGCGTCACGGGCAATGAGTCAGACTGCGAAGCGTTTGCGGGGACGAGAGAAGTGGAGTAGGACTGTGCAGTCGCCTTCCCACCACAGTAGGCAACGGCATACTCTCCCTCAATCTGACGAAACGGACCAGGACTCGTTGGGTGGAAGACGGAAGAAATCAGTACAACGGATGAATAGCACACAGAACTCACAGGTGCCGCCTAGTTAGCGATGCACGAGTGCGTGCACCCAACATGCTAGGCAGAAATTAGACAGAAAATTATAGATTATTTTCAATGGAAGATAGAGACGTTTCTTCCTTGTACTGGTGACCCCGACGTGCCTGAGCGCTGAACACCAACAACCAAAGTGGATATGCTAGGAGGCGTGAACCTCTTCATTTTTGGTTGCTTATATTTGGGACTGGTTGTTATCGCAAGAAAACGAGTCTTCGGGTGTCGACCAGCGCTATTTGAGGTATACAACTACCCCAAGGTAAGTGTCCCAAGGACTTGCGTACCTAGAGCGTAACACCTCAAGATGCGTCAGGAGCAAGAACGAAACGTAGAGTTGAAGCTTCAAGGCCAGGTATGGCTTCGGCAGACTGCAACGTAGTCTAAATCGCCAGGGTACCCTCCTCAACACGAAACTAAGAAAACTGAAGACTAACTGGGAAGATTCATATTGACCAAACTGTGAAAAACTCGGCGTCTCGGTGGGATTCGAACCCGCGCAGTAAGGGGGATGGGGTAACAATCGGGAGATGGCACCCAAAAAAATCCGCCTAACCAAAACAGCCTGTCCTACGAGACAGGTGGTAATAGGGGTTTTATGGGTGGTGGCTTGTCGGGATGTACGATACTAGCCGACAGAAAGCCTTATTTGAACAGATGAATGATCGAAGTTGGCCCGCTCTCCTTTCCGTTATTACAGAATGGGTTGCCAAAGGCAGTATAGTGGTAACGGACGAGTGGTAGGCGTATAATCGTCTTCCCTCAGAAGGTTATCTATATTTCTCTGTTAACCACTCAAAGAACCTCAAGGACCATATCACCGGGCCGCACACCAAGGCCATTGAGGCATACTGGAGTAGACTGAAAAGGAAACTCAACGAGGGAGGTGCCGTATGTGGTCGAGCTGTGTGGGCTCGCATAGACGAAGTACAGCATCGTCTTTGGTTTGGCCTCAATGCCATGTCTTTGAGAGATGCCTGGGAACTGTTCCTGTCCCATGTTGTGCAAACTTATGCTATTTAAAAGTGATTTTGTTTTGTAATAAACGGCCATAATGCGAATGCATGCAGTATATTCAGGTGTAGGTGTGTAACGATGGGGAAGGTTGGGTAACAGCGACCATCATCCATGTAACCTGCGATGTTCGTTCGGCCAGCCCATGTTAGGCCGTCGGGGAAAGTCCAAGCAGTGCGTGAAAGTATGCATGTAACCGCTGATATAGCCTGAAGGCATTTGAGTCCGCTGTTAAAGGTATTATTTCCAGGTAACGGATTTTTTGGATGCCATCTCCCGATTGTTACCGGGGAAGGCTTTAGTACAGCCAACGCCCTAACCACCTGAGCTACGAGGTCCCGCCGGACGACGCGAGTTTAATCACATTTGGGTCAAATTACCCGTCCAATCTACTGCAACGTCTGTAATCCACCAAATCTGATACAGTAAGGTGACTGCCCAAGCAGGATTTTCTAAGTACTTCACCTAGAATCCACCAGATGACTAGAAGGCTCACGTAATTCATAGATTTTTGGAAAGAGAAAATTCCGGACATCGAGGTCCTGAACAGAGCGGGCCTGCTCATATCTGACTATACTCAGTCAGTCGAAGCTGCGATGAAACTGCCACATAGTGAGAATGACTGACGGTGACCCACCCAGGTGACTATTGTATGATAACGGCGCTACGGATGCTTGTAGATAAGGCAGAGAAGGCAACGATTAAAAGGACACTCTAAATACCAATCTCTCCTATTTCTCTCTAAAGCACTTGGAAACTAACCAAGACTGCCAACATGGCTAACTTACCTCCGCAGTCAGAACAATTCCTCTCCCTCCTGGGTCTGATCTCAAGACAGAATCAAGAAGGCCGGAGGCGGGAGGGGACGAAGGTGACTGGCGCGGTAGGAGTCACCCCTAGGCGTGTCGTCATACCCAGCTCAGATCTTACGGAGTGGGAGTGTCATGGAGGCCTCAGTAAAAAGCCATTGCAGCCTGAATATCAGCCCGCCACTCCACACTTACACACACTGGACCAAGTTATCCCGACAGTTGGCAATATAAGCTACAGCTTTTGAGCGCACCGTAATAGCTTCAAGCGCGTCATATTGTTTATATTAAGGAAAGCGCACTAACACGTCGACCTCACTCTCTTATCCCCTTCCCAACCACCGGCCAGCTGTCCGGAGCGGAATACTATAACCGTTACTACTGTTGTTACTACTACTACTACTACTACTACTACTACTACTACTACTACTACTACTACTACTACTACTACTACTACTACTACTACTACTACTACTACTACTACTACTACTACTACTACTACTACTACTACTACTACTACTACTACTACTACTACTACTACCACTACTACTACTACTACTACT